GGGCACGAACAACGCAGTGTTAACGTGCATAGTGTGCGACAACAGTTTCTCAACCGCTACCGCCATCATCACCGTCAACATCACAATCAATAACACAAACAGCACCGTCACCATTACAACTCTACCATCACCACGGCCACCACCATTACCACAGTCATGAACACTACCATCATCACCGGCACCAATACATCATAATTACCGCCATCAACACCGCCATCATTCCATCATCACGACCATCACTATAACCATCGCCTTCAGCATACACATCATACCCCATCTCCACCACTACCTCCAGCATGGAGATTGCATAAATAAAAATGGTCATTCTGCAATGGTATTGGCACGTCCACGTGCATCACGGATTTTGGTGCATCGCTCCACCCCAGCTCTGTGCCAGTATATGCTTGGTCCCCAGAAGTGACAGCTGCTGTGGCATGTGATAGCGAGGCACGCTGGCCACATAATCCGGGCCATGTAGTCCGGCCAACCGCAGCCTCGCCTGCCTGACGAGCTCGAAATGCAGGCTTGCCAATAAAGCCGTGTACGACAAGTCGAATGTGCACCAGAGACCCTGAGGGGGAAGGCTGTGATTATGTCCCCTGGCCAAATCCCCATCTGCGGGAGCCACGGGACAGAAACCCAAGCCTCTTGAGTGCCTCCAGAAGCAACAGCGACTGGTACGGCCACACACAGAGCAGCACAGAGGCACACGGAACCCCGCAGATGCTGACAAATATCTTGTTAAGGCCATACAGACTTTTTGGGAATGTGCTGTGAGCAATCATAATGTCAGCATCTGGTTGCTTTTGTCTACCCACCGCTAATGGTGCAAAACACTAGGTACTCGTTTTAGGCCAATTTTAATCCGAGGGGGCGGTTACAGCGGTTAGTACACCGCTTTATAAACTTGGTGTCATGAGTGTGATTCCTGGTCATGGCTAACATCATTGGTAAGTGATATCTGACCCAGTACTCTACCATCTGCAGTGACTATTGTGGTGAAAAATGGATAAACAACACCCATGACTGGCACAGCAGGGGGAAGGTCTCATCCAGTAGTGGATTGCTAACGGAATTGAAACTATCCGGGTAAATTTTAGAAACAAAAATGTTGGTATTTGGTGAAAGTATTTAAACATCTGCAGTCCACTGCTTAAATTGGTGTAGAGGGTAAGTGGGCATTAACATATCTGTAAAGATACACACCCCACATACTGTACATACCACGGTGGGTTGAAAAATATTTGTTCTGATATGGAGCTGTTTTCTTTATGTTTATGTTCCATTGAGGTACAATGCACGTGATCCATAGATTTGATAAGACTTTAATTCCTGCCAGAGAGAACTATTTGTTGTGCATCTCAACCCCTTGTTTACTACACACATGATCAATTAATGATCACTCAGCTATTACTTCCCCCACAAGTGATACTTTGACTGTGGTTACACGTCCAAGTCAATGGAAGCCAAGCGTGATGAGAATGGGGTTGATTGACCAATTCATTAATATCGGGCATGATGAATTGCAGCCACCACAATTCAGGGCTTGTAGTCACCTAATTTCTCCCGTTTCATCTTCTTGGTTCTTTCGGTAAAGTCACGTAGAAGGGAAGTAATAAAATAATAAAAATAAAACATAATAAAATAATTCTCACGACGTTTCGGCCACAACGCAAGCAGCAGTTCTCAGGTGAAAACCAGGTCTGTCGAGGCTGTTGCTTGCGTTGTGGCCGAAACGTCGTGAGAATTATTTTATTATGTTTTATTTTTATTATTTTATTACTTCCCTTCTACGTGACTTTACCGAAAGAACCAAGAAGATGATTCCCTGCAGTCACGAAAGCTTTAAATCGAAATTCTCCCGTTTAGTTTGATTTAATTCTGCAATTTTATTTGTGTGATAATGCCCGGTGATGATGCCTCCTAATTTCACATAATAAACTAGGATACAGACAAACAATTGTATCATCAGCATCAGCCCTGATCTCTATACACTTCAGGTTAAAGGCTTCCTCACTGTGCGCCATCACCATCCTCACGGTTCTGTGATGCCACAATCGGTCTTGCCCATGAGCTGACGTGATGCATCACATCATCTCCACAGTGGCTAACTTATATGATTTGCTGTTTACAAGGGCGAAAGAAGTTCAACATACATACGGTTACAAAATAAACACGCAAATATCACAAAAGAGTAGTCATGTTCCTACTATATTCAAAGAGCCCTCTCTGTAATTACACACACCTATAGGTGAGCTTTGTCAGTACTGTATAATTTATTTACTTTCCCATAAAACGGAGACCACCATTTTGCCCAACGGAAGGATGAACTCTATTTTTCCCTGGTGGATGGGACAAATGTTCTGAAAAATGATGGACCGAATGTCACAAACTTGGTGAGAATATTTAAATAATTGTATTTGTAATAGCCACAGAGAGTATGACTGTGCATAAGGTCGTTCCTGGTTGATGGCCAAAAGTCTAGGCACCCATGTGGAACATGAAATGTCAACAGTCCCAGAAATCGTTGTTATTGTCAGAAGACAATCTTCCATGACTGGATTATCAACTGTATTGACATTCCACTCCGTTTCTGAAGAAGCCTGGCTCACTTTTTTTTACGAAATAGCCGAAACATGTCATCATTACGATGGAGAGAGACAATGGGTCGTTTTTGTCAGATATTGGCCTAAAAAATGGGACATTCGCCAAAATATGATTCATTGCCATCATCTTAACAAGACTTGTCCACGCATAAACTCTATGCATAGCTCCTTTACGGTGAGACATGATGGATCACATTTTCCAGTTGTGTTTTCTAAAACAATTGTTTTAAATATAAATGCCCCAACAAGGTAATAATACAAAAATAAACATGTAAAAATAACAACAACAACATAACCCTTCTTTATTATCTTGGACCTACAAAATCTCCGAATATCCGTCCCTCCCCGCCCCCCACTCTCGACAGAAGAGGAGGGGTAGAAATACAGCGTGCTTCAAAAACATGTTAACATTTTTTTATGCGACTATCGTTTTTAATCGAAAAAGAATGGATAATACACTGTAACGTGATAACAAATGTATTTTAAAAGCTTCAAAAAGTCAAATAGTCTCCACGTGTACGCCATCATTGTCAACACGTGCCTGGGATCTTCTCCAGGTGGTCTCCAGAGCCCGGAGGCGGCACATTTCTTGTGGCATTGTTGCAAAATTTCAGAAGTGTTAACAGTTTTTTTGAATCACCCTGCATTTTCCTGAGCTCTGCCCTGGGAATGCTTGGGCGGAATTTAAAGCCTCGCGTGTTGAGCGGTCATGCAACGGGTATCATGGTGCACTACGAACCCGGCGACCCGAGTTCGATTCCCGTTCACGGCCAACACCGGTGACGGTGATCTGAATCAGTCCAGGATCCTCCCTCTCGGTCGACTCAGCCTCAAATGAGTAGCTGGTGCGGTGTGTAGTAAACATCGCCACTGGGGAGACAACGGCGGTCGGGCGTGGTGCTGGCCACCCACCACCTCGTGTGCCGTGCCGGCCTTCACATAGGTGTCCGCTAACAGCACTTGCCCCAACAGTCTGTTCAGGCTACAGGGGGGCTCTTTGGCTTTGTGAGTATTCACGGGGAGCGGTGGCGCAGTGGTTGCGCATCGCCCTGCAAAACCGGGCTACCCAAGTTCTATTCACCACCCACGACCAACATCAGTGGCAAATATCTGACCCTGTTCTGGGTCCTCCCTCGGCCGACTTACACACAGATGTCAACCCATACGGTTTAGCCCGTATTCTTGTACCACTGGGAAATTAAGTTTTCAGGTTCATGAGGCGTACAGCCGTTTTTGTTTGTGTTTCTCCCCTGCCATGGGACTTTGCAGGATGAAGATCTGAATTGTTCTGTAATAAAGCGAGTGGTGATTGTAGTAGTGGTGATTGTAGTAGTGGTGATTGTCTATTTCTTTGTGTTTCTCCCTTGCCATGGGGACTTTGCAGGATTAATTTTTGAGATGTATAAGGGGGCACGGGGTGACCAATAATGTCTGAATTGGTCTGTAATAATGTAGGGGCACTGCCCAGGTATGGACTCATCCTTAGAAGAGTACCAGCACCGGGAAGACAAAGGCGGCCGGGCGTGGTGTTGGCCACCCCATCCCCACCCCCTTCGCTGATGCGTGGTGCCGATCTTAACGCAGCAGCTGCAATCGGCTCCGTCCGAACTGCACTTGCCCCCAAACAGCGCTGCGGTGGGCTACACGGGGGACCTTTGGCTTTGCGTGGCGGCCACTGGAGGCGCCCCCCCCACCCCCCCTATCCCTCGCCCCCCCCCCCCCCTATCCCTCGCCCCCCCCCCCCCACATCCCTAGCCCCCCCCCATCCCCCCCCCATCCCTCGCCCCATCCCTCCATCCCCCCCCCCATTCCTCGCCCCCCCCCCCCATTCTCTCCCTCGCCCCCCCCCATCCCTCGCCCCCCCCATCCCTCGCCCCCCCCATCCCTCGCCCCCCCCCCCATCCCTCGCCCCCCCCATCCCTCGCCCCCCCCCAACCCCCCCCACCCCCCATCCCTCGCCCCCCCCCCATCCCTCGCCCCCCCCCCAACCCCCCCCACCCCCCATCCCTCGCCCCCCCCATCCCTCGCCCCCCCCATCCCTCGCCCCCCCCCAACCCCCCCCACCCCCCCATCCCTCGCCCCCCCCCCATCCCTCGCCCCCCCCCCATCCCTCGCCCCCCCCATCCCTCGCCCCCCCCCATCCCTCGCCCCCCCCCCCCATCCCTCGCCCCCCCCCATCCCTCGCCCCCCCCCCATCCCTCGCCCCCCCCCCATCCCTCGCCCCCCCCCCCATCCCTCGCCCCCCCCCAACCCCCCCCCACCCCCCATCCCTCGCCCCCCCCATCCCTCGCCCCCCCCCAACCCCCCCCACCCCCATCCCTCGCCCCCCCCCATCCCTCGCCCCCCCCCATCCCTCGCCCCCCCCCCAACCCCCCCCACCCCCCATCCCTCGCCATGTCCGCTCCGCTCCCCTCTCAGCCTCCTCCACCGCTCGCCGCCGCCTCCGCCTCGTCCTCTCCTTTCTCCTCCTCGCCGGCTGGGCGATGAGCCCCGCGACGAGGAGAGAGAGACGAAGACGACGACGACGAGGAGGACGAAGAGGACGAGGAGGAGAGAGACGAGGAGGAGGAGGAGAGAGACGAAGAGGAGGAGCGAGAGAGAGAGCCCACGGGGAGCTCATGGCGAGACTCGCAGACTACTTTGTCGTTGTGGAATACGACGAGGCCGGCAGCAAAGGTGACGCCGATACAGCACACACACAGCACACAGACAGCACACACACACACAGCAAACACACACACAGCATACACACACAGATAGCACACACACACACACCACACACAGCACATACACCACATACAGTACACATCCACACACATCCACACACCACATACAGCACATACAGTGACACACAGCACACACACAGCACACACACACACCACAGACAGCACACACACAGCACACATACACCACATACACACACCACAGACAGCACAGACAGTGACACACAGCACACACAGCACATACAGCACAGCGACCGACACACCACACATACAATGACACAGACACCGGCACACATCCACACACACACACCAACACAGACACCGACACGCAGACACTGACACACAGACACACCACATACAGCACACACACACCACAGCACAGCGACCGACACACCACACACACAATGACACAGACACCGAAACACAGCACAGACACCGACACACACAACAACACACAACAACACACACCCACACACACCGACACCCCACACACAACACACACAGATACACAACACACACACACGCACACATTACAAGCTCATACATGTCGTGTACACACACATGCTACCCCACATGCAACGCTTTATTGAGGCGTTCACCGGTACAGTAACACGTGTTTGATGGATACGAGATTGGGAGAAAGGATGAAACACACTCACACACACAGATACATCCATCATACATGAGAACATCATACATGTAAACATCATACATGTAAACATCATACATGTAAACATCATACATGCGTACATATAATACACAGTATTATATGAACCCATAGGTATTTGGCATGCACACTGTTATGATGATGATGATACAGCATTACAGACGAGGCCGGAAGCAGTGGTGACACAAAGTGGCAGGTCACACACAACATGCATGTGCACACATGTGCACACACGTGCACCATGTCACCCCATACGGCTCACCCCGTGTTATTGTACAGGGGAATGGAGTTTTCGGGTCCACAAGGCGTACACAGCCGCTTCAATACGGGCAAAACAATTATATTTGTGTGTCTCTACCTTGCGATGGCACTTTGCAGGGTGATCTGATGAGGGGTTGACAGGTATGGTGCACAGACATCAACTTAAATACAAGATGCGATGCATGATGCACACGCGTAACACGTGTGTAACCATAGCACGATGTTGCAAACGTGATGTCACACACATGCACATCCCTCGCTGGGATACGTACATGAATACATTGCTGTAATATGCATTCATTGTGTATTGCATTGTGTGTGTGTATAAACACACACAATATAAACACACACGTGTATACATGCGAGAACATACACACTGGTGTGTATAGTCAACACGTACAATAATGCATAACATGTACTATAATGCACATGCATACTGCAACATGACACTATGCATACTAAGCAATTTAACACGTAGGCTTTAACGACTAATGTTATACGTCATAGAGGTTTTCTTGAGTTAGATCGCGTAAATATAAATGTGTCGTTAAACTGGCCACCACCCGACACAGCCTATGTCACAGGTAATGACATGCACACAATGGAATGCACACAATGGACTTTAACACACAGTGGCTGGCTCGTATCTGACGCATTTGTTGTGCAAATGTTGTTGCGTGTACGAATGTTGTTGTTGTGGGCCACTGGCTGGGCCATGTATGGATTTTACTGCATTATTATTTATGTGTGCGTGTGCATATTGGCCGCCTGTTGCCTTAATTACCCGTCATCAGGTTCAAATCAGGGCTGTCATTGTGATGGTGAATGTTCTATATTCATACTGCATTTGTATTTAACGACAGGTAAAAAAATAATAATCTGAATTTCTAATATCCTCTTCCTCGCATTTTTTCCCACTCATGTGGGTTATGCCAGGGTTGTCATTATGATGGTGAATGTTCCATAATTACACAGCATTTGCATTTAACTACAGGTAGAAAATTCCGAAAAATTGTAAAATCCTCTTGCTTGCATTTCCCCCCCCCACTCACGTGGTGAGGTCTGCCATCCTGGCCCCCCTCTCTGTCCACTCCTGTCCAGGGCTATCATCTCAACATCCACTCCACCGTCTTTCATGTCCTGTTTCACCACTTGGAAAGCGCCTCTCACTTCGGCCTACCTCTCCATCTCCACACTGGTGCTCCCATGTTCATCACCTTTACCGTCAGCTGTGGTTCCTCTCTCCTTACGACAGATCCCCTTACGACAGATCCCCCTGTCCGTCTGAGTCTACGTTGCTCTCGGCTGGTCTGAGATGGGTACCGCTAACCCGATCCGATATGTCCTAGCCATCTGAGTTGACATTCTTTTTTTACTGTTCTGAGATGAATGCCACTTTTTGCCTTCTTCCTCCTGGAATTTGTAGTTTTGAGAAGTACTGTGGACAGTATACATGGTATTAAGAAGGAAGTATTCCATGCCCTTTATCTTCCTGAGGTTAATAATATTGCTTTCATGCACAGGGACTTATTACCCACCCTGTTTAATGTACAAACACACATCGTCTATTTTTGTACGTTTATCGACTATTCCCTTGCCATAAGAATGTGGAATCTCCACCACTGGCCCAGCACCACCAATGTAGTTGAGCTCTGCCCAACACTATTTTTATCCTCGCTATGATATTCAGTATGCCTTCTTTAACCGACCAGAGTCCATTGAGGATCATTACCTTTCCGTAAGGGAGACCTGGATGGGGTCCCACAATCGTTCGCATGGACACTTACATAATGCAGTGGTTGCATGTGGCTTTTATTACGAATTTCTTGTGAACTCTCCAGACGAGCCCCTAAAGATACGCGTGAAATGCACTCGCAGTGACCGTGTGGAGCTTGCCTCTAATGTTTACCTTGCTCCGACAAACCTTATTATTCTGAGGCCCCCAAAGCCTGATGGACACAATGTTATTTCCTTTAAACCACTTAATAAACACTCTTATCTATTTTTAGTATCAGAATTCGCTGAGGCGGCAAAAAACAAACTTTACTGTATGCGAGTGGTTGCCAACTTTTATTTTTGCCTTTACGTATTCACGCGTTAACTGTTAGAGTAGTGCTTGTTACAGCGGTGAGCTCACTGCAAAAAGCGAAGCCAAGGGCATTAAGAGCTTTGATTCCATGCCATCAGTGGCCACTGGTATCTAAAGCATCGGTGGAAAATGGCATCTAAATTGATAGTGATCCTCTCCGAGGTAAAAAAAACAAGTAGCCGCACAAGATCAGCTAATGCACCGTGTAAACATGAGCACTGGGGGAGACAAAGGTGGGTTAAAAGTGGTTCTGACCACACCACTACCACCCATCCATCCACCCACGTGCGTGCGTGCGGTGCCAGCCTTAAAGGTTGCTCTCTTACAACGTTTGCCCCAACAGTGTGTGCCACTACACAGGGCGAGCTTTGTCTTGGTGTCTGCGGCAGTGTTACTGCCCTTCGAAAAAAACTGCCCACTTACAAGCTGTGGGCAGTGTATTAATGTCTCTTGTATTTGTTCAGCGGTGACTTGTCAGCTGTTGAACTCCAGCGTGAATGTGTTGCGATTGCTGCCTTGTGCGTGTCAAGTGTCTGTGAGACAGGGAATGTTGAACCCGCTTCGGGGCGGGCATTGATGAGCGACGGACCCTTCCGGCAGGAGCTCTGGGAAATCATTTGGTTTGAATTGTGATGCCATTGTTTGAGGTTAACTGCCGTGTCCTGTTCCGTGCCTAGCGGAGTGTGTGGATGTACAGTGTATTCGTACAAAAGAGGAATTCTAAAGGGCTTTCCGGCGTGAGTTGTCTCACTCCACGGAAGGTGAATTACTTGGTTTCGCTGATGGTGGGAATCACATTTGTAAGTGCTTAGCAGGAGAATGCAATTTTGAACTTTGGTTGAGCCAAATTGGATCATGTGGATTGTGAAATTTGTTAGGTTATAAGCGTCGACAATATTTGTGGCAAATTTCTACTTCCTAGCCCCTGTAGAACAGAACATCATTAGAATTTGCATCAATCTGTCCTTACCGCATATATATTAGATGTGTTTGCCCACAGACACATGCATGCACACAACACACACTTACAAAAATATGCACGGCCATGTACCACACGCATACAGAAATATAGGCACAATCAACACATAAGACAAGGACACATACCAGACAGACTCCCACATATACTGCATACACACAACACATTAACATGCCCACGCTCCAAATACCTAAATATATGCCATCACACACATATCAAAGATACAAGTGAATGCACACATACACAATCACGGAGCAAACAAACCTCTGCCCACATTCACACCAAACATACACGTGCACATTAACACACAATCAGACCAAACACATACAACATCAAATACACATGCATATATAGCACCAAACAAAATACTAAGATTTTCTGCTTGCCTTCAAACAGACTAATAGGGGTTTTCCCCTTTTTTCTGGCAACAAAACTGACACCTTTTGCAAGGAATCATGCTTACATTAACCACAATACTTGCAGTCAAATGCAAACAAAAAACAATACTCTGATAATTTATGCATTGTCTTTGAAACTGATTGGTCCACACCAGAGACAGCTTTCTTTAGAGCCTAGTCTCATATGGTGTTCGACCAGATGTGACAGACTGTTGGGGCAAGTGCTGTTAGCGTGCCCCTATGGAGGATGGCACAGGTCCCCACACACAATGTATGGACACATGTTCACCCACGTACACAAAATACTGCTCAAGGGCGAATACCGTATGTACATTTCAGTCTTTAAAGAAAGTCAGTGTTCCCCTGCTCAAACAACAATTTAGGTGGTGTTCATCTCTTTCTATTAGATACAGGTCAATGATGGAAATTCCCTGTTCACATGGTGGGGACATTTCGATTTAAAGCTTTCCTGACTGCAGGGATTCATCTTCTTGGTTCTTTTGGTAAAGTCACGTAGAAGGGAAATAATAAAATAATAGAAATTAAACATAATAAAATACAA